CAAAGGGATAGTTTCTGCTCCAAGGAAGTTGGATTTTTTTAGTAGATTTTAAACCAGCAGCAAGTAGAAAGAGATAGAAAGGCAGCTTGTGCCATTCCACAACACTGTCATAGAAGTCTGTACTTCAAACACTTGACCTGGCTTTTTCCTCTCCGTAATGAAATGGCTCTAAAACATTGTTTACTGCTTAATGTATTCGTAGTAACTCTAAGCTGTTGCTCTGCTCTGAAACACAAAATGCCCTCAATGTGGTATGTTGTTTGAAAATAATATATTAAGCTTCTCAGGAAGATCTGGCACAATGACTTTTAGCTGGTGTGTCTGTAAAGTGTTCACAGAGAACAGTTTTTCTCTTAATATCTGTGCCAAATTGGAAGATAACCACAAGCAAAGGAAAAAACTTCCTTGCTAGAAGGGAAAAAATAAGACAAAAGAAAAAACAAATCCATTTTCTTATGCTTGCAATGGACTTGTTCCTGTTGCACTACCAGCAACAACTATGTAATAATACAGTGGCTGCTCCAAAAGCATTTGTGTGATGCTCAAATATCTACAGCAGCACCTCTTTAATCTCATAAAGATTTTAGTATGCTCTGCCACCTGTATTACTTTTATAATGTAAACTAGTGACTCAAGGCAAGTGTTTTCTGGTAACTGTGTACATAATAAAACATACTTTGTTTTGTAAATGAGCATTTCACAAAGGAGCTTATTGTCCTAGTTTCTATAATTTTGAGGTTAGGCCAGAACTTTAATAGAATATATAGGTACACTTCAGCCTGAAAGTGTTGGGAGAAAAAAAAAAAAGCCTATATCAGCAAGCCAAACAGACAAATAAAATACAGCATTCCCACTCTGCATTTCCACACAGGTAAAAATGAAGGAAGTGCTATGAGTTACCAAGTTTTGAAGGATCTGTATCTGCATCTACGAGTTCATCTCAGTTAATTTTTCTTTTAGCAGACTCAGCACTGCCTTTCACTTAGTTTAAAAGTCTTGTTGAAATTAATGGAAAGACTGTAGGACTCCTAAAACAGTCCCCTTTCTTGTAATTTAATCCACTAAAGAGTTATAGTGTACTTCTGGATACAACAAGCCTTCAGGGAAATAAATGGTAATTAAGACAATTATGCTACAAGGAATCATGGCTACTTATTAAGTAGCTGTGTTTTGCTGGGTGGCCTTCAGCTTGCACTCAAAGAGCTTACATTGCACACGTTTGCATTGCCCTGGAGCAGCAGTAGCAACTTCACACATCTTTGTCACTTGAAAATATAGAACACGACAAACTTAAAATTGTTATTTAATGCGTGTCTTGATATTAACATTGATTGCAAATTTTGCATAAAGCATATACAAAAATGCAAAATTCCGCCTTGTTTTAGTCAGTGTCTAAAACTCTGCTCTCTTCAGGGTGGTAGTATTTTGTAAAGCTCGCAGATTTAAGTTTCTGCTTACAGTTGGCAAGTCACAGTGAATAGTGAACCCCAATCCAAAGTGTCAGTGAAATTTCAGTGTTGACTGTGCAGCTGATCCATTCTCTTATGCTTTGCTATGGACCTGTTCCTGTTGCACTACCAGCAACAACTGTAATAATACAGTGGCTGCTCCAAAAGTATTGTTTTGTGTGTTATTCTGTTGACCCACAATGTCAGAGGTGGATGTTGATTGGTTAAACCTTCCCACCAATTCTCCACTACATGTTGTTGCAATGTAACAGACAGCAACAGAGGAGTAGTCTGACAAAATGGGGTCTGAGACGAAAATTTCTGTTCCTGAAAAATCTAAATATCACAACAGGTTGTAAACTTCAGTAGATGGTTACTTAGACGAAGTAGAAGTGCAGAATCCACTTAAATCCTAAAAATGGGTTGGTTCAATGAACTTGTTTGTCTAATCATGTTTAAGCATGGCATAAATGCACTATTCAGTGTAACCACTGTTTCTACATAGTGTATCACAGTCCCTACATAGAACTTGCAAAGAGAAAATACATCTTAATAGTATGCAGTACTTACATACATTTCCATATTTCTCTGAATAGCTGCCAGGCACCTTATTTACCTTTATTCTGCAGTTACTATCATGTGTACATAAGTAATTTGTCACCCTCTACATTCGCAACAGTGCATCACATCTGACATAGAAATGAGTGCAGTGGGCTTTATATACCAATCCCCTGTTTGAAGGTTCGATTCATTTTCCTACCTTTGGTCTCGGGAGGACTAGAAGTACAATGCAAAGGCTTTAAAACATTTTTTAATTAGCATTTCAAATGAAGTCTTTAGCACATCATGCTTCAAGCACCAGTACAAGAATCGAAAGAAAAAGCAGGTGAAAATGGCAATTACTCTTTCCTAACAACTGCAAAGGATGTTATCACCGCTACAGATATTAAAGTCATTTACTTGCCAGCACCAAATAAAAAGCTGTATGTAATTAAAACATATGGCTGACATTAACTGAAAAAGGGACAGGAAATTGAACATTAAAGGTGACTCTGCCCTTAATTTGCTGTATTGCTTGGGGAGAGAGGAGATTGTATTGAAGTGTTCTGAGAGAGAGAGGCGCCGACAACCTTATCTTAGAATTTCCTACCTTTTGTCAGTTACCATTATAACCTGATTACTCAAGTGTTTCAAAAAAAAAAAACAAAAAACCAAAAAAAACCTGATGAAGGGTTGTAAAACATGATCAGTGGCTCTTAAAAAGTGTAACTGTTTTAGATGTTAATTCTTCAGCATAATGAGTCCATTTCCTCCACTCTGTATATTTTTGCTATTAAAGTCGGTAGAAATTTCCATCCTTCGAGTTTTATTTCTGCAAGCTAATTACTGGAAGCATTTTCACAATTCTGTTTAAATAGAAGTTCTGGATTGTCTTTTCAGAACGTGTACCAGATTAGCTCTTCTGACTGCCTGTATGGAGCTACTTCCATTTATAATAAGTGAAGGGCTGACAAATCGGGTTTGTGGTTTGCTTGATGCAATGCCAGTGGTCTTTTCAATTCTGCCATTCTCTGTGCTAGTTGTTAAATACGTCTCTTGATCTACTATCCTTGCCTAACAATCATAAATCCTAATCACAGATATTTTACTATCCTTACATTTAGTATGAGCTGTATGTTTTTTTCACTGTTAGGAACTCCTTGACAGCTTATGAAGTTTCCATATTATAAAGTCAGAAGGGCGAACTATTATCTAACCATTTTATAAACTGTGGGCTTCTCAGTTTAATGAAAACATCAGTTCTTTAAATAAATACATATTCTGCAACAAATGTATTAAAAAGGGATCCAGTTCTGTAGGCTTTTTCTGAAGTGATCCCCATTACAATATTTGAGGGAAAAAACTGTCGTCTATTAACATAAATTTATAAAGCCTTGCTATCTCATTGTTTTAGAAATACATATTTCTAACAGTTTTGAGTTATGTTTCTATGATCTTACCATTTTGAATACAATTCCTTGTCAATTTATTTTATATCACCTTAGGCTTAAATTGAGATGACCATGTGAAGTAATCAATGAATAAGTTTGTATTTCTGTGGGACTGCATGAATAGCTGAAGCTTTGCTTTTTGGAAATTCATTTCCTTTTCTTTTATTATGCGTAGTACTGAATGATGCTAAATCCTAGCTTGGTATTCCAGACCATGAGATGCTGACGACATCCTACTTTCAGGCAGCTAAGACAAATACTTCCCTATGCCTTTCAAAAACATAAACCAAAATAGGCATATTTTTCAGGCTCCCTTAACAGAGCTCAGTATATTCTCCTGATTTTTGGCTTATTGTTTTGTCCTTGATTAGATTCTTTTCTCTGGCTCAGTAACTTGGCTGGTAGCTTAGATTCCTGAAAACTCAACCAGCAACTAAATATGCACTTGAAAATTTAATGTGCAAATAAGAGCCATTTTAGTACTCCATAGAGTATATTTTAAGCTGTCCCTGTATTTTCAATTTCAAGGACCACCATTTTTCAGTTTCAGCGTTAGCAGCCCATTAAGATGAAAGGAAAAAATCAATTCTTTGGTTACTGTGTCAAAACCTTGATGCACTCTGATGAACATCAGCACTATGTAATTTGCAATCAGGTCAGATTTTCAACTTCGAAAGTCTGAATTTGAAAATCTGATCTCTCTAATTGGTAAAGGGCAGCATTCACTGTAGTTCACTTCCATAAGCTCAAAACCTTTGTAATTTATAAACTGTCTAACTGAAAGCTGGGATAACAAATCTGAGGGAATTCAGAAAATAAGTAATTTTCCACCAACATGTAATATTCTGGACCCTGCCAATGAATATGATTCTCAGTATACTGTATTCATCATTTCCATGTTTTCTGCTACTTTGCTCTGGTTATAGTTTATGGTTTTGATTTATAACAATACAGAGACAACAGTGCAGTTGGAACTTAACTAAGCTTTTTCTATGAAACTAATTATCCTTGAATGCATAAGATTACAATACAAACAACATGACCACCTCTAGTTAATGTTTGACTAAAATTAAAGTGAATTTACTGCACCTGTAGGGTACTAGCACAAAAAGCCCAAAGTCTCAGACTATCCGTTATTTGCAAAATTGGTACAGTGAAAATAACCACACTGAAAATTGTTCCCAGTCTATCACTTTTAAAGAAATAACACATTTGTTTAGGTTCTTTCTTCTGTGACCCTTCATTATTATGTTGAAATCACACATTTGAGTATTCTGTCCCAAGATTTCATATAATTAATTGTTATCATCCCAATATTTTCTAACACCAATTCATTGAGTGAGTGTCAGTTACTAGTTGCAGACAACTGTGAATCACCAGTTGATGGACAGGCTATGTCTAGCTGACTGAAAATCTCTTTTTCCAGGAACTAGCCTTCCTCCTCTGGTAAGAGTAGTTGTTTGTTTGCTTATTATCTCTTCAGCTGCCTGTTAAAGACTGAGATTTATCTCTGCTATTGTCTCTTTCTTCTTTTCCTCCTTTCCTCCTTCCCTTCATACAGAAAAATCCGTAAGAAGTTTACCAAGTTGCAGCTGAAAAGAGCTTCCAGAACACCTTGTTCTCCAATTCTTGTGAAGACAAAATCTCTCATGAACAATAGGCAGGCACGAATAGAGCCGAGAGCCATCACGCACTGAAGACACAACAGCATCAGCAACATAATTATGTTAAAATCTTGTTTAATTGTGAACACAGATACAGCGTGACCTTCCACATCTTCAGGACCTATATGGACACTGTGGCTGGGTTCTGTGTTCTGGTCAGGATCCAACAGTAGCCCTTGTTCTCCTTTGTCTCTGTAAGGGCTACTTAAGGTTTGCTGTGCAGGCCTATTGATGATTGTCCTGCTATCTCCCCCCCTTGCCCTCATCACACTTGGATGGTCAGAGAGGGACTATTCATACTGACCGCAAGGAAGAGATATGGATGCAGTGTACCCCCACAATTTTGTCTATGCCTTCTAGTGGTGTGATACAAAAATAAGCACCTTTAAAAACAATTGCAGTGTCTTTGTAACAGGATTTAGCCTATAGGAGTCAGCATCTTCAAAAAGTGCTGCAGACTTCAAACGTTTGAATTTTTTAATATTGGCTTGAATCACTTTGGATTTGATTTTCTGATCTGCTGAGCAACCAGAGGTAAAATGAAGAGTTGTTCAGCACTTCTGAAACTTGGACCGAATTAGGTAGTGCTCAGAATTAGTGGCCCATTTTAAAATGCTGACCATATTAACTTTGGTTAAAATCCTAGAAAGTATCATGTGTGGACATGACCATCTGACTGGTATGGTTATCTATATATTTGCAAGCATCCACCTATTTGTTTGGGGATTTTTAGCATTTCTTGAAGTCTATTTTGAACAGTCAAAGCCAGCAGAATGCCATTCCCGGGAAAACATGAGGAAATAAGGGTATTTCCTATTAGCAATGACTCTCCGCTAAATAATTACTACATTTTAATACATATGGACAAGAAAGTTGTCTTGCTGCAGAATGCTTTGAAATTCATACTTGTAAGGCTACAGGTGGAGACTTACCATGGAGAGATGATGTGCCTTTTGTAACTACTTGTAGGAAGCTGTCAGTCCCCCTAAAAGTGGGAATGGCAACAGAGACAGGTCTTTTTTCTACTCAGGTACTTACAGGTGAATAATCTCTGCCCTACTTTGAGATCGAGAGGCAAGCAGTGTGTAGCACTGCTGTGTAAACCTAAGCTGAGATATACTGATTATCTTAAGCAAGTTATGTCTTTCAATAGATTTTGTTTCCATATGGCTTTTAACAGATAGTCAGACACTGAACGCATCACCATAAGCTGGAATAAACTTCAAGATGTTTTTTCTAGTTCTTTACTAGGTAACTCTAGCGGCACTGTATTATCTGGCTATGGATATGCCCAGCTCTGTGGTTAGAAAGATGAAGGTGTAAGTAGTATCTCGTAACTCTTGGTGATTCCCCCCCTTCCCCTTCCTGAAATATACACCCCACGCTACTTACAGTTTCAGTCTGAAAGATCATCTGTGATACCAGCCTGTAACTAGCCATGCTGACCATGTCAGATTTTGAACACTTGAGACAGTCACCCAGACGCTTCCTCGAGAAAGAAAGCACACTGACCTTCTGAAGGAAGTTGATTTTACAGAGTGACGGATCCAGGTCTTGTCCACTGTCCTTCACCAGCAAGCGGAGGGTGAGTAAGGAGAAGAGATTTGGACCTGAAATGTTTCTAGTACCCTGAGCACCCTACCGAATGTCACTGATTGGGAATCAATTGGAGAAGACCTGGGATTCATCCGCTTACAGATTTTTTTCCAGGAGCCACTGAAGTGTGCAGCCCTGGGATTCTCTTCTATCCACACGATCTGCTTTTTCCTCACAACAGGAGAGTATTTCATCAGATACTGAACAGCCACAACCCATTCTTATTAGAAAGAATTGCCTTTATTAACTGCGACATATGGAAACACCTTCTGCATAATAGCTTTCTCACTCATTAAAATAAAGAAAGCATGATTATTCAGCAATCTATTTGACTGAAAGTATGAAAAACATAAGCAGAAAGTGCTTTGCCTCCCTCAGGCACCCCTGAAACCACACACAACAGACTCATTTTCAAAGTGTCTTTTGCTGTAAGGTGATGGATATCTTTTTTTACCCTGCCTTATTAAGCCTGTACTCGAATTATTTCAGTCAGTGTGCTACAGTGTCTAGCCAGTATTTTGTAAAATCCTCGTGTGCTTCTGCCTTTGACAAAAGTATTAGTATTTGTAACAGTCCCTTGTGACATCTTTTTTTTTTCTTTCCCTCTGAGGAGTGAGAGATTCATAACGACTCCCTGTCATGCAGCTTGATGCAACTTAACATATTCTGCATCAAGCATCCAAGGTAAGGAAGAGTTCTCCCTTGCAGCTTCAAGCCAAGGGAATTCATCAGGAAGCAGTAGAAGTAATGCTGTGACCCTGCCTGGCAGAGTTGTGCCACTGGTCACAATAGCCAACAGCCAACACTTGCAGAGGTTTAACGCAGTGGAGACTGTTCACTGATATAACACTGATATAACCATCCTCAAACTGCTTTGCATGCAGCTGCATGGAGACCTTCCTTCCTCTAAAATGCACACAGTGCACAGAGAAACTGCACGCCGCGTATCGCACCTTTGTCTTTACATGCTCTCTCTCAATCTTACCCTTCCTGTGAGATGTTCTCCAGGGATGGATACAGAATTTACCTGTGAATTTCAACAGAAAGCAATGATGGAAGATTAGGTGAAAATATGTTCCTGCTTCTTTTGACTTCTGTAGAAATTGTGACAGTTCTTTCTGCAGCATCTCGCAATTCCATGCTGTCTGTTGAGTTGAATTTTGTTTTTTTTTTCCCGCTGACCTTGAGCGAAGATGGCACATTTCTGTGTAAGTTATAACAGTACTGTTTTTATCAAGCTTCTCAAACTAGTTATTTTAAACCTAGCTAACATATCTCAGTCATCAACAATGACACTGAGTATAAACATATGCCTCAGAAGCAAGGACAAGACATTTGGTTCTTAACATGGATGTGAGCAAGGAAATCTCGGCAGCTTCAGTACTGTGTTTGCAATATGATTTATTTTCTTGTTAGCTAAATAAGAAAGCTATCTGAAAAACCACGTCTCCCTTTACAACTACAGAGTTCAAAAACCATGCAAAATACATGCTCATTTTTTTGTCCAGAGGTCTCATATAAAGAGGAAGAAGATTTTGTTAAAATTCAAATGTCCATGTTACCAATTTCAAGTATGTAGCTAATCTGCAGTCTTGAAATATTTAGTATATTTTTTCAGATTATTTTTCGAGGTTATGACTTGGTCAAGGAAGCTTTGGTTATGTAGGATGGAAAAATGAGATCTGGGAATACTTGAAATACATTGGCGACATTCCGACTACATTCTGAATTGGTTTTTTATTTTGATCAAAAGCAAATATTTGTTTCTGTAGTTCAAAACTTACAGCATGGTACAAGAAAATGGGGATTAAAAATGAAAAGAGTGAATGAGTAGAAAAAGAATGAACCAGAGTCGGCACTTACAAGATGCACACCCTTTATTAAACTGAAGCAAGCCTTTTGTTTTTCATAAATATCATTTTAACCTAGGCACTTTCCTAATTATAAAGTTACAGATAAAATGGAATGGCTGCGTAGTAGTTTCTGGTATAGTCACAGCATTATATCCTACAGCCTTGTGTAGAGAACAATTATACTCCTTCAGAAGTATTATATTGCAAAATACAATATAGTAGACACAGTGCATTTGTATATGTGCAATGCTGTGGTAATGGAAGTCTGTTAGAATCCTCTGGAAATGTCAGCAAAAATATTTTTGTTTTACATTTCTTCTTGAAGGTCTTTTATGTAAACCCGTGTCTTCATAAACCAGAGTGGGTGTCAAAAGTTTATATAACTGCAGAGTGGAATTTTTTGGAGTAAGTCAGGACTTTTTTATTCAAATGTTGCATGTAGAGGGAGGAAACCTAATTTTGGAATACATGAGTTTTGGGTAAGAGTTTTCAGATTGTACTATGCAATGATCAACACAGATTTGCAGAGTATGCTCCTGTTGCTCATAAAGGCTTAACAGTTGTTACTGAAATACAGTATTGAAAATTAAAAAGAGAAGCATAAAAAGCTGTCATTTTTAGAATTCTTTAAATTCTTTAGATTGCAAGTGAATTTCTCAAAGGAATGGTAAAACTGGGAGGATCAATGCTGAATATTTGAGGATGTGGAGCACCTTAGAATGAAATATATTACTGTCTGATTTGCATTAAAGTGTCTTTGTGCACAAGCTTTGTGACTCTTCGTCCTTTTTGCAGGAAAAATATTTATGCATTGACACTATCTTACAGGCTGTTCAGTAAACAACAAACTGAAATGTGATGAACTTTTAAAACTGCACTGGTGTTAAAGACACAAATACTTGTCTGTGGATAAAGAGAAAAGATTCAGAAGGCAGCGAGAAAGAGAAACATGAGGTATTGTTTATTGTTCATTGTATTGGAACTAGAAAAATGGTTTGAACCAGGTTTGAACTGAAATCTAGGTAAAAGGACTGTTACTAGAAGATACAGTGTGCATTACAGTCTTCAGTGCATTGACATTGGCATCCAAACTTTGCAGGTCAGTATTAGTGTCATAAAATTACACTGCTTTCAATTTGGTTGCACTTAGAACTGGTGACTTCTATGAGAATATGGGATATAAACTGGATAGTTTTCTTTACTAATGTGCAAAATAATTTCCTCAATTATGGTGGATAGATGTTGTTTTGCTGGCTTTTTGTTTTGGTTTGGTTTGGTTTTTTGCAGAGGAGGAGATCCACACACTGGAATTCTAGCAGGACTGCTGCTTCACAGGTTTGTCCAAGGCAATTCTTTCCATCTCGTAATTGCCCCATCTATCCTGGAGGCATCTGTAAATTTTGTTTCAAGTGCTTGCATTAGAATGGATATTCTTTGTCATCCTCTCCTGCCAAGAGGCGTAGGCAGATTCCAAGTCCAAGTATGGTGTTTGGGTTTATTTGGGATGATAAATTACATATATCAATTCTTCTGGGTAAGCAACAATGGTAGTGAGGAGGAGATGATCTCCGGACATAGTTCTTTGCTGGGGTAGCTGGGAAAATTGGCATCTCTTTAACCAAGCTAGGAATAAGCCACAGTCAAAAAGCAGGAGGTCTGAGATGCTCATCTGTTCCACTAGTGCAGATTTTTATGAGCCCTGCATATTTTTATATGCAGGCTCTAGTTCATAACTGGTGAAAATGCATAGCTAATGAAAAAAACACTATGAAAAATAGTGTTTTGTGGCTGAGAATTGGCTCTATCAAATAGATGTTATTGTGCTCTTTGTGGCTGCTGTAGTTTTCGTAGAAATAAATAGGAAGCCTTACTTTTGGAGAGACCTTCTTTGTAAGTTAAGCAGGGGAACTTTATGAAAATGAAATCTATTTGTTACTAATATTATGGTAGCATCTAGACATCAGGGCAAAGCACTGTCTCTGACCAGTAAGGTTTTCAAATAAGCACTCAAATCAAAGTCCAGTCTGTGTAGGTGGAAGAAGTAGAGTTGATATGTCAGCAACATTATGTGATGTGCACATTTGTTTTCAACTGGCTTGATAGAGCCTTGTAAAGAACAAAATCTCCTGCATGAAATAAATTTCATTCTTTATTGCCTAAAGCAAGAGAATGAGAGTAAAGGGTTAGAGCCAGATTTTGATGCTGCTTCACTTCCTACTGAGTTAGAGATTCATGGCTGTAGAATCTCTTCCCAAAATAAGGGGACTTCACGGGTACATCTGTGAAGCTAAAAAGTAAGTAAAGCACGTACAAGCTTAAAATAGCATGACATAACATAATAGGTCACTGAATATAGTTTTTTTATTTGTTACATGGCTGTAACTGTCCGTGGCTGAAGGATTGGACTGTCCTTCAAGCAGTCCTTTCTCTTCCCAGTTCTCTGTTTGCTTTTACTGCATTCATCTAGCTGTTGCACTAGTGCCATTTCTGCAGCCTCATAGTTGTATACTGTGAGAAGGAACAGCTGAAATGATTTATTGGTGCAGATGCAATGAAAATTGGGGGATGAATGACTCCACATTTGTTTTCTTTCCTTCATTTGGATGGGCACTTAAAATATGTGTGATTTTTTTTCCTCAAATTTTTAACTTTTCTGCAGTCATTAAAAACAGAGACAAAGCAGACTATTTCCCCACAAAGTTTCCAGATTTGGGAGCACCAGTTTGTACAGAGAAATGCATTGATTCAGAGGGATTTCCATTAGCATTTTAGTCTCTTAACAAACAGTGAATCTAAGCAAACTTACCCTGAATGCCTTTGTTCCTTTAGGAAATGCATTTAATCCATAAGGCACCTGCGTCCATGGTCTGCTTACAGGAGCCTGACTCGGTTCTAGCTATTTGTTAATCCAGCTCTAGTGCCTATTTTTCCTGTTTGCAATAGTAGGCAAAGTATTGATTGGTCTTTCCAAGAGGGTTAGACTCCATCCTGCGATTTGTACACAGTTTAGGCATGGTTAAATAAAATCTCTCATTCTGGGACTAAAGCAGGTTTCTTGGCAATGATGGAATTTGTAGCTTAAGAAATGGTTGAGACTAGCTGAGGACTCTTGAGGTGCTCCTATTCCACTTCTGCATAACCAGAATATGCACCAGCTCTCTTATTTAATGGCTTATTTGGATCCATTCCCCTTCTAAGTTCAGGCACCCTCATCCTGCCATGCTTCCTTTAATGCTCATCTCTGTCTGTGACTTTTAACTCACTTTTCAGAATGATGTCAAGGGAGATTATAATTAAGAAGATGCTATAACCACTTAGAAGTTTTTGCTCCCTCATCCCTCCATCATTTTTTATCTTCTAGATGTTTTATCTTCTATTACTCTTTCCCTTACACCTTTCTTTATTTTGGTCTTTCCTTTACTGATGAAGATTAATCTAATATGCTCAGGTTTTACTTGAAATATGATAATCTTCAAAGTCACAAATTTGTACATACTAGGGTGGAGGGCAATAAACCTAGATAATGTGCTGGCCAAATAGAATTCTAATCCAGACTAATATTTCAAGTCACTTCAGTTTATTGGGTGTTTGGAGCCACCATTCTGTACTGTCTGTTCTAAAGTCAGGACCTTGCTGCAAACTTGGGGTCTCAACCTATTTGGCTTTTTATCCTTCCCTGAGGCTTAAAGGAGTTCTGCTTCAGGGTTTGGCTCAAGTGTGTCTATTAAGCATGCCTTGCCAGACTCTAATTAGACCTGCTACTTGAATGCTGAGTAGCTTTCTTCTGTTTACTATTTGTGTGGATTAAATTTGATAGATTTCAGTAGAAGAATATAAATGAAGTGACTGTCTAGCTCTGGATTTCTTCCATCTTCCCTTGATGCACTAATAAGAATCAATTGCAGTTGCTTATTATTTTTAAGTAGCAGTTAATTTGAGAAAACCTGATTCATTAGCTCTTTTCATTTTGCTGATTTGATTTCAGCCTTCTGCCCATCTGGGCCAACCTACATAGATGGTTCTAAAACCAGAGTGAAAACATCACTGAAATTGAAGAGACAGCCTGACGACCCAGCAAGGTGCTGTCTGTAACAGCAGGCTCTGAACCTCTGTTCTTATGGGTATAATTCCCAATAAAAGGAGAGGTATTATTCTGCATTCATTCTCCCATTCAAGCATTTGATTCTCTGTATGTTCAAATCTGGGAACAGTGTGTATGACTGCATAGCTGCGTAGATAAATTACTTCCTGAGTAGATCAGTTATCCTCTCTGGGGATGTTCCAGAAAATCCCACTCTCACCATAGGAACTGTACAATTAATCTCCATGGTCGCATGATGCTTCTAGAAACATCCTTATGGTCAGTGTCCTGTATCTGTACAAATCCACTTGAAGTTAATAAAGAATCCTGATTTAGGATTGTATTCTAAGATTGTAAGCTCTCTAGGTTAGGGCTAATATCTTCCTGCAATTATTAAAATATATATAAATATGTACTTTTAAGATGTATAGCTTTGCAGAAGTGCCTATGGTATTTATTTAAAAAAAAAGAGAGTGGTTCAGAACCTGGTAGGAGACATAGGGTTGTCTTAGCCCTGGATGCAGGAGAAGGTGTCACCACAGCAGTTTTTACAGGTGTACTGTTGTGTGACATGGGGAAGAAAAGGGTGTATTCCTCTGTTCTGAATTAAGGGGCAGAAAAGGATGACTATCTCTTAGTGGTCTCCCTGCATTTAAATCTAGGCTGATTCCTATTCATAGCTTTTAAATTTTTTTTTTCACATCATAGCAAAAAAGACAGTATAATACAGTGAAAGACACTGGATGGTTCTATGTGGATGAAACATTGCTTTTTTTCATTATACAAACAGAGGGAAGTTAAAACGTTATTTGTAGAGGATGAAGGTGAACTTTGCTCATGATTTTATGAACTTCTTTATTGCACAGTTCTCTTTGTGCAAATAGCCCTTGACACTCTCTTGCCTTTTGTTATTTCCAGCAGATTGGAGTCATTTGTTTGTTTCAGCTGAAGTGTGACAAAGCAGCAGGTGAGAGCTAAAAAGAATCAAGATCACTTGCACGTTTTGTGCAAATATTTAGAGGGACTTGTGAAGTTCTGTTATATTCAATTAATTTACTTCCTACCTCCTTTTCCCTTGAGTATTAGTTTGCATTTCTGTAAAATGTTCCAAAAGTGGAGCTGGTAGCTGGACTAAGCTAAGGCTGTGGGGTTCACTTTAACACTCGTGCTGACTGAAAATGTCACCCTACTACTGATCTTCCGCTGGGGATTTCTGCCCTCTCTCAGCAGGAAGAATAGCATGGACTCTGCAGTTTTCTGCTTCAAAATCAGCCTGAAAATCAGGATTAACTACATGGTATTTTCTGAAAAAAAAGAAAGATGATTGAAGTGAATCCACTAACAAGGAGGGAGGGGAGCAGAGGGAGCTCTGGTGGCCATGGATGACAAACAGCACAGGTCAGTGGTATCTTCAACTACACGACTACACTTGGAAGAAGAGATCTGTGCACAGCCTAGCTCAGCCTCTGGCTTTACCCACAAAATTATTAAACTTGCAGAAATAAATATTGCATTAGGTTTTTGGAAAAGTAGAAATGATCGCAAATCAATCAATGCAATGCCATCAGTCTGACTTGAGGATCTGTGTTTCTGACTGCCTGCATTTATCTGCCTTTGACTAATCCAGCATTGACATCTGTGTCTCTTCTTC